CCATCTCCTACTTGACTTTCCAGGCAATCTGACCTGAGACAACTTACTTCTACTTTTCCTCCAAGAGGGGCCTGGAAATCCTACAGAACCCCACAAAAGACACCACAGATGCCCCCTCTGAAAGTTCAGGCAAGCCACCTATCTTCTCTGGGTCCCGACTGAGGACCTTGACCTCATAGCAACTTGGAAAATCTTAAAACTCAAATGAGCCATCATCTCCAGCTTGTGCGTTTGCCAGTGAAGGGTAACGTTATTGCGGGTGAGGGACTTGGTGGTCCCAGGATAAGAATGAAGATGAGCTGTATGAGATGCAGCCAGGAGACCTTCAGTCCCTGTTCAGAATGCAGGGTTGGGATAAGAGTTCCCTTCCCCACTTGCCTGGTCTGTCCCAGCTCCAGGTGGCCTCCCTTCTGCATGCCACTCCTAGCTGCAGTCAACGACCTGGAAAGGAGTCCAACAAGTTTTTCCTGGAAAGGAACCTGACCCTGGTGCTGGGGTAGGGGGTGGAATGATGAGGATCTTGTGACTGCAGTTAGAAAAGCCAGGCCCCACACTCCAGTCCTGACCTATCCAGCTCACTTAACACAGTCCCCTCAGCACTCTGCTGGGTGCTGCAGACCCCAAGATGAACCATAAGCCAGTCTTGCTTGCTGGGATCTGACTATGGAGTCCAGCCATTGGCAGGCTTGGCTGTGAATGAGAATTACCTGGGAAAGGTGTCAAAAACACAGCGTCCTGGGCCTCACCCCCAGTGGCTCTATTCAGGGAGTCTGCAGCCGGGCCCAGGAATCTGTATTTTCTTTCATTTTTTTTGAGACAGAGTTTTACTCTCGTTTCTCAGGCTGGAGTGCAATGGCGTGATCTCGGCTCACCACAATCTCCACTTCCCAGGTTCAGGTGATTCTCTTGCCTCAGCCTCCTGAGTAGCTGGGATTACAGGCATGAGCCAACACACCCGGCTAATTTTGTATTTTTAGGAGAGATGGGGTTTCACCATGTTGCCCAGGCTGGTCTCGAACTCCTGACCTCAGGTGATCCGCTGGCCTTGGCCTCCCAAAGTGCTGGGATTATAGGTGTGAGCCACCATGCCCAGCCTGGAATCTGTATTTTCAAAGATTTATTTTTGGCTGGGCGCAGTGGCTCAAGCCTGTAATCCCAGCACTTTGGGAGGCCAAGATGGGCAGATCACGAGGTCAGGAGATCGAGACCATCCTGGCTAACACAGTGAAACCCCGTCTCTACTAAAAAAATACAAAAAACTAGCCGGGCAAGGTGGCGGGCGCCTGTAGTCCCAGCTACTTGGGAGGCTGAGGCAGGAGAATGGCGTAAACCCAGGAGGCGAAGCTTGCAGTGAGCTGAGATTCGGCCACTGCACTCCAGCTCGGGCGACAGAGCGAGACTCAGTCTCAACAACAACAAAAAAAAGATTTATTTTTATTAATTTATGTATATTTTTTTTCTAAGAAAAGATCTTGCTCTGTTGCCCAGGCTGGTCTCGAACTCCTGGTCTCAAGCCATCATCCTGCCTTGACCTCCCAAGGTGCTGGAATTACAGGCATGAGCCACTGCACTGGGCCCCTTTCTTAATTCTTACATCTTTCCTTCCTGAAGTCTCTCAGCTGCCCTCTGCTGCCATGCCCTTGGTCTAATAGTCACCAGACCCTCAGCCTAGATTTTACAATAGCTTCTGGGTCGTTCGTTCCTCTCATGCGGTTTCCCAAACTGCAGGCATTCGTCTTCCATCTTTACAATTTTTTGGGGTCATATTGACATATCACCTGTTGTATAATTTACCTCAGTATTTTCCTTAAATTAACTTTTTAAAGAAACTTAAATAGATCGATTTTAAAAGACAGCTTTCTAGAGTTGAAAGCAGGGAGTCAGACAGATATTTGTCCACCCGTGTAGCAACATTATTCACAATAGTCAAGAGGTAGGAACAACCCACCTGTCTATCAATCAACAAATGAATGGATGAACAAAATATGGGATATCCACATATTAGAATACTATTCCGCCATAGAAAGGAATTACACGCGCCATGACATGGATGAACCTGGAAGACATTATGCCAAGTCAAAGAAGCCAGGCACAAAAAGACAAATATTGTGTAATTCTATTTATAGGAGGTGGCCCAAAACATAGAGACAGGAAGTTGGAGTTACCACAAACTGGGTGGAAGGAGCAGTGGGGAGTTATTGCTTAATGGGTAGAGTTTCAGTTTGGGAGGATGAAAAAGTTCTAGAGAAGGATGGTAGTGGGGGTTGCACAAGAGTTTGAAATATTTAATGCCACTGAATTGTACATTTGAAAGTGGTTAAAATGGTAAATTTTATATGTATTTTGCCATGATTTTACAAAAAGAAAACTTTTTCCCACGTATAAATGGAGAAGCAAAACCAAACCAACAGTATCACTTGTGGTTGAAAAAGAAACAATGTTACTAAAATAATGTCAACTTCTCTACCACTTTGTTAAAAAGAAATCTTAGCAAGCATTAGGGCACTGTCAAAGATCAGGGAAAATCAAGAGACTTTGTCCTTGATGCAAGAAGGATCGAAGGAATCTGAAAAGTATCTATGTCCTTCCTATGAGAATCGGTGGTAACTAATGCCTCTTTCTAAACTGTCTTTTGACTGTGTGTGTCTTGGTCTTTGGAAACCTCCCATCTGCCTATGCTTTCCTCTCTGAATTTTTTTTTTTTTTTTTTTTTTTCTGAGACAGTCTTGCTCTGTTGCCCAGGCTGAAGTGCAGTAGTACAGTCTCCGCTTTCAGGTAACCTCCACTTCTCAGGTAACCTCCGCCTCTCGGGTTCAAGCGATTCTCGTGCCTCAGCCTCCCAAGTAGTTGAGATTACAGGCGTGCACCACCATGCCCGGCTAAAACACAAAAAGGCGTTTTAGTAGAGATGGGGTTTCTCTATGTTGCCCACGCTGGTCTTGAACTCCTGGCCTCAAGCAATCCACCCGCCTCGGCCTCCCAAAGTTCTGGGATTACAGGTGTGAGCCACTGCGCCCAGCCCCTCTCTGATCTTTCTAAACAATCCCTTTAGGATCTATAATAATTATTTCCAATGCATGAATATTCTTTGGTGGTTTTCCAAAGTGCTTTTTCTGTGCACATCAGACATCATCAAGCAAGTTCTCATGTTTTATCCATTTTACAGATGAATCTCAGAGAGGGGAAGTCACTTGTCAGGGTGACTCAAGGCGAATCAAGGCTAAGTCCAGAAGCTTCCTACCTCCCTCCAGTCACTTCCCTGATTGCCTGGAACTGACCCAGAGGGTCCTTGGGTTAATTTTCTGATTCTGCTCTTCTCAAGGTATCTGAGGTTGGGTCTTAGGACATGAAACCAAGCCCCAGCCTTCAGACAGACTGGGTATCAACAGGTTTCTCTCTGACTGCCTGGGACCTGCCCTGCGTTTGTGGAGGTTCACATCTGCTTGCTGCACTGGACTGGGCTCTCAGCAGACCAGGGTTCAAATCCTGCCTCTGTAAACTGCTTGCTAGGTGGCGTTAAGCAAAACAAGCAAAACAAAACAAAACACCTCCTGGGACTTCTTTTCTGATAGAGGGTTTGTAACAGGGACAGAGTAAAGAGATGAGACCACATTAGCGCCTCCCAGCGTCTCTGCCCTGGGGACTTTTGCACCACAAGCGAACATTGGAGTCACCTGGGATAGATGGTTTAACCTGCACGGTCTCAGCCTCACCCCAGGCCTAGCCAACGGGGCCTGGGCGTGAGCCAAGGAACCTGCATCCTAAACAGGTTGATCATCCCAGGTGATGTTCATGTGTGGGAAGCCTGGGATTCCCAGCTCAGTCATCTCCGAAGACCCTGCCTCCAAACGTTCTGAGGTTGTTGGAGACCAGGTCATTACCTAAGGCAGCCGGGGGTTTGCAAGGTGATCATTTGTTGGAGTCAAGTTCCTCTGGCTCCTCTTTCTCCAAGAGGAAGAAGTACCAGTTTCCTTGACTTCACTCCAGAGAAGTATTTATTTATTTTTTCTTTGGAGTGGGGAGCAGAGACTGAAGACTTCCTGCCAAAGTTAGAAACTTCAGGCTGTGACTGGGGAGGGAGCCATGCCTTGAACTCCTAGGCTTTTGCCGCTTCTCCTGTGCCACCTAGGGTGGAGAGGGGCTGTGGGACTCAGGAGGACCACGGCTTTTAAGAGTTCCAGACAGAGCTAAGCATGGTGGCTCCGATTCCTGCTTTCCTGGACCCTAAGAAGACCCAATTTCTCACTCCCACCCCGGCATTCGTATGCTGGCTTTCCGAGGCCCTTTAGCCTCTCTCCTTAGAGGGTGTGACTCAGGACTCCAAAGCGAGATACAGAAGTGAGAGATCAAGAGATCGGTTCAGTCCGGGAGACCCCTCCCCCACCCCTCCCAACAACACACGCCTTCGCCAAGATGTTCAACGAGAGTTGAGGACTTCTCTCAGCCTCCGGTTAAAGATTTGGCTCCCTGCTGCCTCCCTGCACAGGGACCCCCGCCTGGAAAGCCCAATACCCAATATTCCAGAGTTAGAGCAGGAATATGACCCAACAGAGAAAGTGAAGCTCAGAGAAGGGCGGCCCTGGTCCAAGATCTGGAGTACAAGAAGGGCGCGTGTTTCCCCCCGCGCGCAGGTGCGCACCTCTGAAGGATCCCGGGCGCACAGAGTCGGCCAAGGGTGGCCTGGGGCGTGTGTCTGCTGCGCGCTCCCCGTCTGCGCTCCAGCTTCTCTGCAGAAGCTGCCGCCAGGCTTTCCTGCCACCCGCCCACGGCCCTGGAGCTCTGGGCACAGCAAACCAAGCCCCGGGTTCCCAGCTCCCGGTTCCCGTGCAGAGTCGCTCCAGGGATGCGGGAAACGAGGTGTTTCCCGGGTCTACATTCTGCATATTCCATCTCCCCTCCTCCCAGACTTACTGTGTAACCTTGAGCTAGTAACTAACAGTCTCGGAGCCTCGATTCTCAGCCCGACCTTAGGGGCTGCAGAGGAGACTTTGGTCACCTACCGCTGTTCCCCGGGCTCCCGCACGCGCTGCTGGTGGCCTCTCCCTCCCGCCAGCTCTGGGGCCGCGGCGAGTCTGTGGCAGCTCGTCCCCTTATCATCTTACCTCCCCGCCTCCCCGCAGTTCTTTTCCCTTTCACTTTCTTTCTGCACCACTAGACGCTGGCCAGGCTGTGGAGCCACCAGGCACCTGCTATGGCCACCACGTGCTTTATCAGAAGTGGCATCCCAACTGCCTGGGCCCTTCAAGAGGTCCCTACCTCCAGTCGGCTCCTCACAGTGGCCAGCTACACTTCGGGGAGAGTCCCAGGCCCAGAGCCGGGAGCCAGGAGCTAGGGAGCCACTTGGGCAAGTGATCGGCAAGCCCTGACTCGCAGAGAGCTGGTCCCCACCCCTGGGTGGCTCTCTGTTTCTCTCCAACACAGTCCAACCGTGAAAGTGGCAAACCACCTCCCAGGGCACATGGAGGAGTGAACTGAGCTATTCGCTCCTCTGATGCTGGCCCTAGGGAGAAAGACAAAATCTCTCAGGGCCTTCCATGGATGGAAAACCATGACCACACCCCCAGTGGTGGCAAGAGCCCTGCCCTTCCTTTTCAGAGGTCTTGGATTCCTGCTGGGTCCTCCAGGGCATGAGACCTTGAGGTGGTCACTTTCCCTTTTCAGGCCTGTATTTCCTCATCTGGAATTGAGGGAGGGGGCAAAGTCACCTCTGACTTCTCCCCTTCAAACACTTTCCCCTAGCAACTTACATCTGCACCCAGCAACACCCGCAGACCTGTCATCTCTCTCTGGGTTCAGAGCAAACCATACATTTCAGGGGAGTCTGAGAAAAGGGATACCTTTTCTCTGTTTCTCTGGAATGGCAGGACCAACTGAGACCGCACTCTAAATTAAGATGCTTCCCCGGCCCTTTTACCTTGGGGCTCTGACAGGTAGGACCCAGCCAGGTGTGGAGCCAGGCAACGCACGGTGTAGGAATTCCAGCCAGGCAGCAGCTCCTGGAGTCTGGCAGCCCCTCCTCGTGCCCTCAGCTTCCCCAAAGATGCCTTCGGATGCCCAGCTCAGAAGCACACAGCCTCATCACTAGACAGCCACTAGTCTAGTCGGGAGCCCGCCAAGCTAAGCCAACATGCAAAGAAACAAGTGAGGGACTGTCAAAAAACTCTCCCTGCAAGGTGGCCCCAAGCTGTCAGATTTCTGTTTCTGAACACCCTCTAATTTTCCCACACTCCCTTAAACCCTTTAACCATCCAACAACAGCAATGCCAATAAAATTGAGCTCTTATGATGATATTCAGTTCCTACAAACTACTGGGTAGTGTGCTAGGTCCCTCGTCATTACCCTATCATATGGGCTTTCCCACGGGTCCATTTTACACTCCAGGAAAAGTGACTCAGAGAATATAAATAACTTCTTCAGGGGCACACCCTTCCCAGCTAACGGTGGAGCTGCCATGCTGCCTTCAGAGCCAGTGCTAGGTGTCTACGCTGTGCTCTTCCCAGCATCTGTCCCCTTGTCCCCTGCCCCTTTTCTAACAACACCATTTTAAAACTGGGGGAACGGCAGCATCCGCCAGCTCTCACCAGCTGCCAAGGGCTCAACAGCTACAACTCAAGGCTGACTCCAATTTTGGTTTCCCTGCTTCTCTGGAGATGGAGTAGAGTCTGGCAGAGGTCCCATCTTGCAGAAGCAGTGCTCAGTATTTACCCAAAGGGATGAGAAAGGATCTTGCTGTGGGCGGAGCCAGGCCAGCACGCTGAGAGTTAATGACACACTGCCCGAAAGTCTGACTTCTAGAACCTTTCGGTGCTGATACAGGATTCACAGTCCAGACACCTGGCTGACCTGAAGGTTCCCTCCGGTGGAAGGAAATAGACAACTGTTTCACATCTTCGAATGGCCTGCCCCAGCAGGACACAGACTCATGTTCTCATCCTCATCCCCGCCCCCAATTCAGAATGGTTTCTCTGTTTATCTGGAATGGCAGGACCAGCTGAGACCGCACTCTAAATTAAGATGCTTTCCCGGCCCTTTTACCTTGAGGCTCTGACAGGTAGGACCCAGCCGGGTGTGGAGCCAGGCAACGCATGGTGTAGGAATTCCAGCCAGGCAGCAGCCCCTGGAGTCTGGCAGCCTCTCCTCGTGCCCTCAGCTTCCCCAAAGATGCCTTCAGATGCCCAGCTCAGAGGCACACAGCCTCATCACTAGCCTCATCACTAGCCAGTCACCGGTTGGGAGCCTGCCAAGCTAAGCCAACATGCAAAGAAACAAGTCGGGGACTGTCAAAAAACTCTCCCTGCAAGGTGGCCCCAAGCCGTCAGATTTCTGTTTCTGAACACCCTCTAATTTTCCCACGCTCCCTTAAGCCCTCCCCACGCCTCTGAAATTAATTTCAATTCTCTGTTGTGGATTGCATTTGGTGAAGACAGAAAGTCGCACAGAAAGTCTATTGGGGGAAACTTCAACACTCTGACATTCAGAAATGATGATCACAATGGAACCACGCTGGTGCCAGCTGCCAATATGTGCCATCCTCTGCAGGATGGGGCCAGTATCATAGCCGCCCCAAATGCCTCAAGACAAGCTGAGAGCCTCTGTTGGGGACTTCTTAGATGCCGTTCCCCTCTACCATGCCCACTCCCACACGAAATTGCCCTGAATTTCCCTGGAGATCATAAGTGGCCCACCTGTCATTTTCATCCCTAGATATTGGACTAAAACATAAGTTATGCCTAAAAGAGTGTTGACCCAAATATAGTACCCTTGTAGCCAGATGGTTTGGGATGATCACCGATGTGATGCTAAATAATACTGACTCCCACAGGGAGAAAGGTAGTGTCTTTTCCAGTATCTGCGCATCCTTCCGATGGTATCAAGCAGGAAGTCTCAGTTTGGTGCTAACATGTCTTTAAGACCTCTTCTAATGTATGATCACTTCATTTTATAGAAAGCAGCTCTCTAGCCTCAGAACCTTCTACAGTCAACAGTATCTTGCTAGAATCGAACATCACTCTGCTTTCTTGTTTCATGGTTACCTCCTGGTTTTGCCATTTTTTTTTTTCCTTTATAATGGAATGTAAAGTGTTATTTGAAAATAAAGTAGATGTCTGGGCCAGGTGGCTTGTACCTGTAATTCCAACATTTTGGGAGGCCAAAGCAGGAGGCTTGCTTGAAGTCAGGAGTTGGAGGCCAGCCTGGGCAACATAGTGAGACCCTGTGTCTACAAATTATCATCATTATTATTATTTTTTAGACAGAGTTTCACTCTTGTTGCCAGGCTAGAGTCCAATGGCACGATCTTGGCTCACTGCAACCTCTGCTCCCGGGTTCAAGTGATTCTCCTGCCTCAACCTCCTGATTAGCTGGGATTACAGGCACTCGCCACTGCATCCGGCTAACTTTTCTACAAATATTTTTTAAAAAATTAGCCGGGTATGATGGTGCACACCTGTAGTCCCAGCTACTCTGGAGGCTGAGGTGGGAGGATCGAGCGTGCCCAGGAGTTCGAGGCTGCAGCGAGCTATGATCATGCCACACACTCTAGCCTGGGCAACAGAGTGAGATCCTGTCTCTCTTAAAGAAAAGAAAAGAAAGGTGAATAAAAAAGGTGAGTGGTTAAAAAAATACCCTGTCATAAATAATAGTAAGGTGTTATGCAGAAAACACAAAAATGAGGAAGGTGGTACTGAAATGAATGTTTGGAAGCAATGACTTGTGTGCCTCATGCATTTTTGCTGAAAGAGCACTGGACGGGGAACTTACTAGCAGGTGTGCGACCTTGGCCTCTTTTCTTCCTCTCTGTGGTCCTCAGTTTCCCCACGTGTGAAATGAGAATGATGCCCTTCTTTGTAAGGTGATTACTTTGAAGGCTTCACTGTTTTCAGAAGTCCTGGGGTGAGGAGGGGGGTGGAAATTGCCAGACAAATAAGAAGTGCTAAGAGTCAATTTGAAACAGCCTTGCTTGGTGGGGCTAACAAATGGACATGGTGAATGTCAGAAATTCTAAGAAGGGCCAGGCGCGGTGGCTCATACCTGTAATCCACTTTGGGAGGCTGAGGCAGGCAGATCATTTGATGTCAGGAGTTCAAGACCAGCCTGGCCAACATGGCAAAACCCTGTCTCTACTAAAAGTACAAAAATTAGCCTGGGCGTGATGGTGCGTGTGCTACTCGGGAGGCTGAAGGATGAGAATCACATGAACCCAGGAGGCGGAGGTTGCAGTGAGCTTAGATTGTGCCACTACACTCAAGCCTGGGTGACAGAGACTCAGTTGAAAGAAAGAAAGAAGGAAAGAAGGAAAGAAGGAAAGAAGGAAAGAAAGAAAGAAAGAAAGAAAGAAAGAAAGAAAGAAAGAAAGAAAGAAAGAAAGAAAGAAAGAAAGAAAGAAAGAAAGAAAGGAAGAAAGGAGGGAGGGAGGGAGGGAGGGAAGAAAAAGAAAGAGAGAGAGAGAGAGAGAGAGAAAGAAAGAAATTCTAAGAAGTCTCATTATCCTATGCCACGGGAGAGGCACCTCTAACTGCTCAGCCGTCTTGAGGTCCCATATGGGGGTCCCTTTCTGTTCTCAGAGATAGCTGGCTCTGATGTCCCCCCATCCCGCCCTCAGACTGATGGCCAAGGCAGCTTTGGAACTTAGAATGGGCCAGTCACGACTACCAGCTCTCACCTGGATGACTGCAGCTGCCTGGTATATCTTCCCTGTACCAGAGGTTCATTTCAGTACCACCTTCCTCATCTACATCTTCCTTGACTCCTCCAGACCCGGGTCTTTTCCACAAGACCTGAACCTGATGATGCCTGTGTCAGAGTAGGTCTCTGAGCAGAGCAAGGGACAACCGTCAACCCGTGTGTTTGGCTGATGGCAGAGGATGCACTTTGGCACCCGGAGGCACCAGGGTAGAGAGGCTAGAGATGAGTGGCAGTGGTACCCAGCCAGGAGCTGAGCTGAATTTCAGCAGAGGCAGGTGAAGGTTCAGGGATGGAGAGGGAGCGGGCAGGAAGGCTCAGAGGCAGAATAACAACCTCTGGCACTGAGTGAATGGGGGTAAAGAGCAGGAGGAGGGGTGAAGCCCACCGCAGGCTTCTTCTCTGTTGAAACACCTGCCTCCTTGCTGCTGCCTCTTAAAGACTCCTGCAGGGTGGATGTGGCGACTCACACCTGTAATCTCAGCACTTTAGGAGACTGAGGTGGATGGATCACTTGAGGTCAGGAATTCGAAACCAGCCTGGTAAACATGGTGAAACCCTGTCTCTACTAAAAATAGAAAAATTATCCAGGAGTGGTGGTTCATGCCTGTAATCCCAGCTGCTCAGGAGGCTGAGGCAGGAGAATTGCTTGAACCCAGGAGGTGGAGGTTGCAGTGAGCTGAGATCACACCATTGCACTCCAGCCTGGGCAACAGAGTGAGACTCCATCTCAAACAACATCAACAACAACAACAACAACAACAACAACAACAACAAACTCTTGCAGAGGTGATGAGGATTCCCCGAGCCCAGGTCTGCTTGGGACAAAGTCAGTTCTGTCCTGAGAGGGGACCTCTGTCAGGAGAGGTGCTGCTGAAGCCAGTCTTGCCCTAAGGATCTGAATTTATTTGTCTTGAGCCAGAATCTAGCATGGCAGCAACCACTAGCACCCATACTGGGGTCCCCTGCCAAGTCCCAGGGAGAGATGGGGAGGAACTTGGTCTTCCAAGTAAAGAACAGTGTTCTGGAAAAATTGCCGGTCCTTGCTGCCATCTCCCAAAACAGATTTCGCTCAATCCTACCTTCACACCTTGGTTCCCTGCAAGTCAGGGGAGAACGCTGGGAGCTTGCTCCCTCCCGGCGCTGCTCTCCTGCCTTCTCCCTTTTGGCCTATATTTTAGCCATCCTGCAAAGCTCGAGTTCCCAACTTCATTGTGTCACCAGCTAACTATAATTTTTTGCTTTGCTAGGTTTTACAAAACTTGCTGCAACATTGTTTGGCAATAAAACTTCAACTTTCAAGTTCATAAGCATCATCCCTGCTACCTCCGATTAGATCATAAATCTGTTAATGTCTAGGGCCAGGTCTTTAATTTTCTATGGTCACCCCAATGCCTACATAGAACTGAGCGTTTGAAAGACACATCATCAGTGTGCCTGATGCTGGGTGCACACTGCACTTTGGGAGGCTAAGGCAGGCATGTCACTTGAGCCCAG